AGTTGTTGTTTGTGACCATTGACATTGGTGGTTAAGTTCACTATGAATGTCTCTGTGACAAAATCGTCGGTGGTGTTGGAACTGTCATCATACCAGTAAAAATAAGGGCATGATTGAGATTCATCTTCGGATTTGCAAGGTCTGGAAGGTACTAAGGATGAAACGAGGCTTCACCGTTGATCACAACAGCTGATATTTCGGTAAGATGATGCTTGTTAGTGGTTGTAATACGTCCAGTTTGTTCGAATCAATTGTGGCAGGGTGCACATTGGATCTAATTCACGAACTCAATCTGGGTTCCCCTATTTCCCCCTTACGACCTGGACCAGTGGTAATCGAACCACCATCTTCTCCATACGACGACGGTATGTGGTGGCTATGTATGGCGGCTGTGGCGGCAGTGTGCAACAATGCTGCTCCGGGGCTTCTGCTAGTTCTTTTCTGCCTAATCTCGATGGGAAAGATGAGCGCGGGAGGGGAGAAGCCTGCTGGTGGTTGGTCGACACTTACGGTAGCGGAGGTGATGGCAAGTGGATGTTGGAGTGGAGGCAATAGGTGGAAGGAAGCAGTGGTGTCGGTGTTTGATGGTGGTGGGTCACGGTAAGAGGAGGCAGAGAGGCTGCTACAGACGACTATGGTGGCCCTATTCGTTGGTGGAGTGAGAACCAGAGAGAGGGAGTGAGTTTGGAGATGAAAAGGAGGTCGAGGGAAGAGATTCAGACAACAGCAGTTCTGGCGGTGGTTGGGATGTCGCAAAACAACAGGCAGTCGCCTTTTTCCTGCGCCCCTTTGTGGGTCTTGTTCTAGTTGATGGCAGCGACAAAACAAAGGGAAGAGTAGCAGTGAATCACAAAGGTGTGAAGATAGGTGGTAGTTTTATGGTGTTTTGTACTCTAATTTTGCCTAATCTCGATGGGAAAGATGAGCGGGGGAGGGGAGAAGCCTGCTGGTGGTTGGTCGACACTTACGGTAGCGGAGGTGATGGCAAGTGGATGCTGGTAGGGGTGTTAACGGGGCGGTTCGGTTCGGATAATAATAAAATTGTGAACCGTCATCACGGGGCGGGTACTTCATGTGCACTAACCGAAACCGAACCGAATTAGCAAAAAAACCGAACCGAACCGAACCGTATAAAGGCGGGTAACCACGGTTCGGTTCACGGGTACCCGTTAAATATAAAAATTTAAATACAGTAAAATTACAAACTTCATTCCAACGATTTCTTTCTAAAAATTACTAAGTCCAAAAATTATAAAAACATAATAAATGTCAAATAACATACAATACAATTGGTATAATAAATATAAAAATAAAAATAGAAGAAAACATAACGTAGAAGTGTAAAATTGGAATAGTTGATCATGATATTTGTTTGGGATATGGCTAAAAGTTCAATGAAAATGAATAATATTATATATATATATATATATATATATATATATATATATATATATATATATATATATATATATATATATATATATATATCAAGCGATTCGGTTCGGTTATCCACGGATACCTAAGTATCAAAACCGAAACCGACCCGTTGATATCCAGTTTTTTTGGTTTCGGTTTTTTTATGTTTCGGTTTTTTTCGGTTTCGGTTTTTTTCAGTTTCGGATCGGCCGGTTCGGCTCGGTTTTACGGTTTTGCGGTTTTTTTGCACACCCCTAGATGCTGGAGTGGAGGCAATAGGTGGAAGGAAGCAGTGGTATCGGTGTTTGATGGTGGTGGGTCACGATAGGAGGAGGCAGAGAGGCTGCCACAGACGACTATGGTGGCCCTATTCATTGGTGGAGTGAGAACCAGAGAGAGGGAGTGAGTTTGGAGATGAAAAGGAGGTCGAGGGAAGAGATTCAGACAGTAGCAGTTGTGGCGGTGGTTGGGATGTCGCAAAACAACAGGCAGTCACCTTTTTCCTGCGGCCCTTTGTGGGTCTTGTTCTAGTTGATGGCAGCGACAAAACAAAGGGAAGAGTAGCAGTGAATCACAAAGGTGTGAAGATGGGTGGTAGTTTTATGGTGTTTTGTACTCTAATTTTGTGGCTCCATGTGCAGGAAACCTTTGATTTAGTAAGAAAAGAAACTTTGGTTCCAAAAATTGTCAATTTTGTGGACCTCTGAGTGCAAAGCGTTCGATTTCCGATGAGAAGTGAAGCAATGACACCAAGATGACATGTTTATTTGTAGGTGCGATGCTCATGGTGGTTTTGTCATGATAATGGTGCTCTGTGCATCGAGGGAAGAGAGAAGAAGATGATAGTGGTGGTTAGTGTTGTGGAGAGAGAGAGAGAGAGAGAGAGAGAAAGAGAGAGAGACCTTTTTAATTAAATAATTATATATATATATATATATATATATATATATATATATATATATATATATATATATTAAATTGAGAAAACCTCATAAATGGGCATGTGTATTGAAATGATAAAAATTCCCCTCACTTAACGGTAGAAAGCTGGCGGAGTTAGGCGGAAGGAACATTTATTAAAAGTTTTGAAACCACAGGGACCATCTGTGAGGTTTTTTGAACTTAGGGACTAAACATGATATATTCGAAAACCACAGGGACCATTTTTGAAGTTTTAATTTGTCAATAGTTTTTGTTTTTCCATTTTTAATTTTGTGTTAATTAGGCAAATTTGATATGAATTTTAATGTTTAGAAAATAGAAATATGGATGAAGCTCGAATAATATTATTTATTGTTCATATAGTACCTCCGACTTTTCCATTTTGGGTACATACAACAATAAGTACGATTTACGAAACATCTTTCACTAAAAAGTACGAATGTTTTTTTATTCTCAATTAGAGAATCGTCTAGGTCATCCGTAATACATGCAACGAGCTTCGCCGTTGTCTAGCTGTCAACGAACGATGGATGTGAACATCGCCCCGGTCCTCCTGTGGTGCTGATCTGAAACCACGAATGTTGTCTCTTGTGTTGCCCACAACAATCCACCACGACCTCTTTCTTTTCTCTTCCTCTCTTTTTATCTCTTGCAGCTTAAACCCACCACGATCATATTTATTGTTGTGAGTATACCAGATTGAGAGTGGAATGAGGGTGAAGGATGAAGATGGTGAGGGTGAGGTGTATACACACCACAAGCATTCTTTTAATGTGTATACAGGAAGGACTTAGATCCAATTGAACGTTTTCAACATATACACCCAATGAGAATCAATGAGTCTTACACAAAATATGCATTTTGTGTTTCAATACGGCCCAAAAGAAGCATGATTGATCCACCTTTTTTTTCATTTGTCTAAATTAAACAAATAACTATTATGTTTTATTATATTAAAAAGGGTATAATTATAAAATAATTACTGTTTACCTTTAAAATTTTTGTGGTTATTAACATAATTTATGTGCTTATTTAACATAATAGAATAGATATAGAATGTCCAATACAATCCACCTTTTAAATAAATAGTTCGAAATCAATACGTCTAATTCCTACTAATCACCTTCGTTCCTACCCCAAATGGAAATGTTCCACAATAGGGTCTCTTAACGAGGGGCAAATAAACCCTCTCTTGTTAAATAACTTAACAACCTTTAAAAAAATCTTAAAAAATAAACAAATAAAATAGAAAATTACATGTTAATTTAGTTTTTCACAAATCTAAGATGTACGTCTCTCTTTTTCCTTTTCATTGACTTTTGACGATCATGGAATAAACTGCAAAATAAAAATAATACGAAAAAATGATTGATACAATTGTTTGCAAAGATAATAAAAAGAAAGATTGTAAAATTAGCGAAATAACAAGAGCATAAAGAATTGAATATGACTAAAGAATAAAGATGGCTTGTAACTTGTTAAGGTATATTCATACCCACCTTTCTATACGTAAGACAACTCTCTTTTGTTATGTAAAAGTAAAGCAAAAGCTTATGTTGACCTTTCTTCTCTTCTACCTTTTATATATATATATATATATATATATATATATATATATATATATATATATATATATATATATATATATATATATATTATATATATATATATATATATATAAAATACCAAAATTAGACACAATTTATGAATTTTATAAACTAGTATGACGTTAATTTTATAAGTAGTAATGACTTTGTCAGAATATTTGACTAATTTTATACTAAGATAAAAGACAACTTGACGTATTGTTGATCTCAATACGTAATTGATACTAATATCTTTGGAAGAATGTAGAATAAAATTCTTCTTTTTACATTTTGAGAAGAAAAAAAAGAAAAATAGACCTCTTCCAATTTTTTTTTTTCTCTTCTTCTCTCAAAATTACATTTTCTGAAGTAATCAATAAGTTAACTTACAAGATATATTAATATAGTGTATTGATAAACCAATTGAGCTTTTTCTGTGAGTTTTCTTAAATATGCATTTAAAAGTTAGTTTTTAATTATACATCTAAAGTTTCTTTTATCTATGTTAGTGACTAATTAAATTCAGTGTCAATCAGAGATGAAAATATGGTGTTTTTATTTTTAGTAAATTTCTCAACTCCCAAAAAATGAATTGAAAGAGAGGCAGCAAAGTGTAGACAGTTATTAAAGTTGAAGGAGGTACAAATTATGATTAGCGTGATTGTGACGCATCTCGGAAACTCAATTTTTGAAGGATTAAATTGCAATGTAAATGACATAAATAGCCATTTAGATATATAACTAAAAAAAAAAGAAATAGATATAAATAATGACAAATTTGAAATATTTTTAAAAAGTTCCATGAACTTATTAAAAATAGATTATTTTTATGGTTTAAATAGTAAATCAGCTATTAATTAGTTAGTCAATGATAATCCAATTGAATGCATATTATAAATTTCTTTTTGTTGATAAAATGTTTTAAATATAGACAAAAGGAATTTTATGTACAACTTTATAGCATGCATATAATATAAGAAAAAACATTAAATTAACAATTATGTAAATAGAAAGAGAAGCTTAGGGGCACGTACCCGGAATAAAAAAAAATTATATTTAAAGAATAGCAGAAGATGGCGCCGGAGTATGACCAAATTCAACACGACGGAGCAACGCTCCTATCCTCCTCCTTGGCAGCTCTCTGCACCACCAACGGCGGTTGCTGAGCTTCCTGTGGCAGCATAAGCTGATGCGGTTGAACGTGGAGTTGTTGGTGGTGGTGATGGTGGTGGTTTTGTTCTTGCGGCGGCGGTTGGTGTTGGATCTGGTACATGTTGTTATTCACATAAGAATTACCTAACGCTAAAGTTGACATAGCTGCCTGAGCTGTCATCGGGCTAAACCCACCACCACCTGAACCGGCATCAAATCCGCCGCTAAACCTTACTAGCTCACCCGGTTGATGCTGCTGTAACGACGGGGGGCGGCGGCGGAGGCGGTGGTGGTTGTTGTTGCTGCTCGTAACTCCTTAACATTTCTTGTTGTTCTCTAGAATTAACAACCGCCACCAGTTGCTGTTGCTGAGCGTCAAGTATTTGCTGGTGGTGCTGCGGCTGAGAGTCTCGGAAAATCGGCTGCATGTTGTAGGGTAACACCGGCACCGATGATGACGTCGGCATGTTTCCGATTTGCGGGATGAAACCTGGATTTAAGATTGGTAACATAGCGGAAGGGCCGATGTAATTAGATAATTCGAGTTTAGCGTTGTGTAAATCCGATTGAACTTGTTTTAATCGGTGTTGAAGAACAGAGATTAATCCGACGCATCCGTACACCGGATCTCGTAACCTTGCTTCGGCTTCATAAGCTAATGAATTAACGGCGTCTTCTCGTTGAGTTGTGTTGAGTTCGTTGAGAATTTTGGCGACGTTACTTGCTCCGAAGACTTTGTGTACGTTTGCGAATTTTTGAGGGTGATCAGGTGGGAAGTATGGCGCAAACACGCATTCCTGTGTGCATTTACGGCGTAAGAACTTGCAAGCTGCGCATGGAGAATTTGAGGACGACATTTTAGATCTCCTTCTTCTTTTCAATTCTTCTTGTTCTTCACCTTTGAAACTGCATGTTAGGGTTTCATTCACAAAAGGAATTGAATTAATGATTCATGTGATCGATAATGTTGAGAATTGATTAGTACAAATGAATGAATAATTATAACATCGCATTCAGCGAAGGTTCGTTTACCGATTTTGGAGAAGCAGGTGGTGCAATTAAAGCAAAATTTCATGTATCGAAACCAGCGATTCTAAGTCAAATGACAGGATTTATTTAATAAAATTTGGTACAGTTGAATTTAGTAAGATGATAATTTTGAATATTTCCAGAACGATGCGTACACACGAAGAAGGATAACTCGAAATACACCATGAAACTTGATTTTCTGTAAATCAAAATGATCAAAAACTCATAAAACGAAAACAAGAGAAAGCAACCGAAAGCTAGAAACTGCTCGTAAACCGATCGTTTTAGATCCAATTCATCGAACCAAAATAGGAAAAAAGGAAAGCAGATCAGCAGAATCAAACAAATATTGAAAAAAATACGTTCGATTCAATTAATTTCTCTCAAATAATATGATTACACTAATATTTTCCTTCCTTATCAGAATTCGGAAAAAGTAAATCAAAGGAAACGATTGTTTAATTAATGAGTCGCATATCAAATATGTAATATATATTCTAATCCAGCGAGAGATTCATCATTCATGTACCTTGTTAGAAGCTATATATACGAGAAGATATCGTTTCAAGTTGTGCAAAAAACTCCTGATCCGATCTTCAACATCTTCTAGATCCCATCCAATATGTAATTAACAAACAGTGGACTCAATCAACACAAACACGCACAAATTAAGCTTATTGTAGAAGAGTGAAAACCATTACCAGAATGTTGACGACGTCATTCGTCCCTCTGTGCGTGTATATTTGTATATGCATATATATTACTACGTGTTAATTATGAGTCTGAATGAGTGTATGTGTGTGTGGATGTGAAAGAGAATGGTGCATTCTCCGCCGTCCGACTTGAACAGAAGCGTATTTTGACCTTCCGATTTGAAAACCGGAGTTTGTTAGTTGCTACACTGAGAGAGAGAGAGAGAGAGAGAGAGAGAGAGAGAGATTGTAAACGATGATATAAATGCACTCTGAGTTACCTATTTGTCCCTGCTTTCTAGTATCTAGTCTCTACGCCTTTGGTACCCTTTTTTTAAGAGTAATTATAGTTTTGGTCCCTTTACTATACAAGAATATGTAGGTTTAGTCGTTAGTTTTGAAAATTTAATATCATTGATCTTCATGGCAAATTCATTACAACATTTACTCCCTTGGTTACCTTCTTATAATTTACTATACAAGAATATGTAGGTTTAGTCGTTTGAGTATCTATAATTGTTCCAAAAATTAAAATAAGAACAAACGAACTCATTTCTCTTCTTTTTCCTCTATCTTACTATTCTCTTCTTTTGGTAATTTTAGTGTCATCAACACATTTGATGTAGTTAAGATTTATTCGATACAAGTTAATTTTAGTTTGGCTACATTCAGAGACTTGAGGTGAGGCACACTTGGATATTTAGTATGAACTCGACAGGTATCCGAGCGTAGCGCCCTTGGTGGGGCTCAAAGAGGCATCAGCTTTAACGGAGTCAACGAGGAGCGTCCTAAGCATGGTTCAAGGGGCAAAGCCCTAGTGGTGATAGTGACTATCTTCGCTAAAGTTAATTGAAATAACTACTTTTGTGCTTATATATTAAGGGGATGGATGAAGAAAGACATGTGGAATTGCATCCCTATTTTGTTGAATGTTTGTCTTACAAAAACACGAAACACAATAATTTATTATCTGTTTGTGATTTAGATTATGTCTATACTCGATTTCTTGTATTATTCCACAAATGGATTCGTAAACCTAGACATAGGTCAAATTACATATTTTGGAAAGTGTTTCTATATTATCCATGATATTGTCTAATTACTTGTATTGAACTGATATTCTAATTCGTAAATCTAATACTTTCTTCCCCATACTCTCCAATCATCATCAGTGATTCCCCCCACAACATCATTGATGTGTGCATAATTAACTACATATTTAATGCATATTTCTAATACTTTTAGATACAATTATGTTTAATATGGAACTAAGATACTTAATATGTTTAAATTATGTTTTGTAGCGACAAGGACTTGCTCGGGACATAAAGGGAGCATACAAGGAGTTGGAAGCAGGAAACGAAAGCCAAAACAAAAGAAGAAAATAAGGAGACTAAAGACCATGTCATGGTGATGTAACCGCAACATGGTGATTGGATTATTTGTGACCCATATGCTGACTTGGCAAAAACGAGATTAACAAGAGAACCACGTTGTTGTGGCGGTCAACCGCAACGTGGTGGTCAGATTTCCACAATTCTAAAATCACAGACATTAGGTTGAAATCAGGGGCATGCATTCGGTTTTCTGAGGCTAACAGTGATTAATAACCCTTAAAAACCCAAAAGAAAGTCGAAATTCAAGTGAAGCTCAAGGATTGAAAAAGATTTAGAAGATATTCATCATTGATCTAGTTGGTTTGTTTATTAAACTTATGTCTAGCTTATTTTACTTAGATCTATTGTGTTTTTCTGCTATAATGAGAGGCTAAACACATTAAACTTCTATTTAGTGAAGATGAACTTGATCTATATGTGTTGATTTTGATTATCGGATGATTATTATTGATTCTACTTATGTTTGATATACCTTGGCATATTTTAGTTCTAGTCTATATTGCATATAAATCATATTTTGTGTGTTAATAAATCATATTAATTACATGAATCTATCTCCTAATTGTTTATGATCATCAGATAATTAGAGCTAAGATTAATCACATCTTAATTTAAGTAATGAAAGCTAGTAAATTTAACTATGTTATAGAGCATAATTGTAACATCCCGAGTTCAGGGGTGCAAAGTTCAGGGTTCAAATTGAAAATGTGAATGGTCAACTTGGCGATTCCATGGGTAGACTCGGCAAGTAGGGTCTCGATTCTGGTCGCGTGTCGAGTGGCGAACTCGGCAAGTCGGTGGCTGGACTCGGCGAGTTGGTGCTGTGTGGAGAAAACCCTAATCCCAGGGATTAGGCCCTATATAAAGAACATAATGCCCTCTCCCCAGTGTCTTTGCTCTCCCTTGAAGTCCAGAAACCCTAATATTCGTTGTGAGAGATTTAGAGAACATTTGTACCTTGAAGAGTGTTTGTTGAAGAGATCTTTGAGGATTAAGAGGCTTAGAGCAAGGGGCTTTTCAAGGTTTTGACTTATTCTTCTGTTGGAGCCTTCTTTTGAGGTAATGATTCGTTGCTTGAGCTGTTATCCATCTAGATCTATCATTTGTGGGATTTTTGGGTGTATATCTAGTGCTATCTTGAGTTTGGAGGTTAGATTTGAGGTTGCTACCTCAGATCTAGAGTAGTGATCATTCAAAAGAGCATAAAGTCCCTGTTCAAGAGCTGTTGATGAAGTCTTTTAGCCCCAAACCTTATCCCAAGAGTGTATTATGCTTAGATCTCCTTGGATTCACGTAAAATTTGCCACTTTACGTAATGGATGGCTTGTATAAGAGTAGATCTATGGATTGGAGACCCTGCATGGCTTGGAAAGCCTCTGTATGGGTTAAGAGCTAGTGGTACTCGACGAGTCACATGGGTGTACTAGGCGAGTTGCATGAAGATAGGCAGAAACTCGGCGAGTTGGAAGAACAACTCGACGAGTTGGTTGAAGATAGCCTTGGACTCGGCAAGTCTGTTCTTAGACTCGACGTGTCTGGTCTTGAGGTCCTAACCTTTTCTGGTTAAGCTGAGAATCCGTGAGTCAAGGGATGACTCGGTGAGTTGAGTGCGATTTGAATCAGAGTTGTGGGACTCGACGATTCTTGGGGCGACTCGGCGAGTTGAGTCATGTTATGGGAGTTTCAGAGCATGGGGACTCGATGATTCAGCGGGTTGACTCGGCGAGTAGAGTCAGTCAGGAGGGTTAGCTTTGAGTAAGAGTTGACCAGTTGACTTCCCAGGGTATTTTGGTTGTTATTGGTATTTATTAGTTTTGGTGATTCAGTGGTGGAGTTCGTGACGGTGGTCGGAGTAGCGTGATCTTGTTCTTCAGTCGACAGTAGCAAGTGAGTCTTCTTACTATACTTTACCTAGAGTGGTAATAAAGTTATGTGACAGAGTTATTGTATGTTATCTATGCGATGTGTTGCACTGCATTATTTCTATGTGATTTATGATGTGTGTGTATCAGAGTTAGGACCGGAAGGTCCACAGAACTAGGACCAGAGGGACCACAGAGTTAGGTTTAGAGTTATGTGCCAGTGTAATTGTATGCTATTTATTTTCTGGGATTTATTGTGATATGTGATAGCATGATTCTGAGTTATCAGAGTTAGGACCTTTGGGTCCATAGAGTTAGGACCAGAGGGTCCACAGAGAGTTGGGACTAGAGGGTCCCACTGAGACACACAGACCAGAGGGTCAATAGAGTTATAGCCTTGAGCGGATAATATGTGTTAGAGTGGTATTTTGGGGAAATCACTAAGCTTCATGCTTACAGTGTTTTGTGTTATGTGTTTAAGGTTTCTCAGGTTCACGGGACGGCACCAGCTCGATTGTACACACCAGGGGAAGCGTTTGGTTTGAGGATCCTGGTTTAGTTTGAGGATCCTGGTTTATTAATTGATTGAACAAAAGAGTTATGTATTGTAACTTAAACAAATGGGATTTTTATGAAAAGTGTTAAAGAGATAAACTATTTTAATTTTTAAAAAAAATTGTTGAAAACTTACGATGTTACAATAATTAGTATTAATCTATGCTAGGTTACATAACTTGATCATAAGAGTGTAACTAATATCATTCATAGTCCAATTGTGTTATTATCAATTTAGTGTTTATCTTGTGCATGATCATTGCTTTGTCATTCATAAATTGGTAGGCCTAAATATTTGATCATAATAGCTAGATAATTGGTAATCAATATGATCTATCAAATAGAAATCAACCATAGGGGAAAGTGAAATCGGATCTAGGCAGAAGTATTCTTTTAATTCTTAAAGTTATGTTGTTTTTGTAGATTACTTGCTTGTTAAGAGATATTAAGTTATTCTGATCTTGAAAAATCAGTAAAAACCAAAAATCACAATGATTTCTTAGTTTAATTAAAAGTAGTTAATTATTGAATTAAATTTTGATCCCTGTGATCGACACTCGACTTACCTGAGCTATATTATAATCTGACTAGGTACACTGCTTATAGGTGCATAGTTAGTAAGAGTTTGTTATGTTATAAATTTAAAACTAGTAGGTACTTTTGTGTACATCAATGTTTTTGGCATCGTTACCGGGGAACGACTTACTTAGTTATTAATTCAATTGCTTTTATTTATTCGATCCTTTTTGTGGGGTAAAAACCACAAGAAGTTACTTTTCTGCAATTAGTTAATTTCGTTTTCCTCTTTGAGACATAACCACATTGTGGTTATCTTCACCACGTCATGGTCCCTAGGATCTAAAACTCTAGTTGTTCCTCCACACAAGAAGGAAGTAGGATACAAGCCAAAATACTCTACCAAAAGAAGTTCAGACGATTCAGAGTTAAAATCGAAGAAGAAGAGATGGTGGACATTATGAGGATGACGATGGGAGACTACAAGAAGAGGATACATGAAGAACATGGACCAGGTCTAGTTCCACTTGAGAGAAGTTTTGAGCTTAAATGACACATTTTATCCATGCTCAAGGACTTACTTTTCACCAAGAAAGAGTATGAAGATTCTTTCAAGCATATTGATGATGTCAAATACATTGCCAACTATTCTCGTGATCCTAATATACCAAGGGAATCCGTTTTACTAAGGATGCTTCCGGTGACATTTACCGTTGAAGCAAAGGTTTGGTTGAAGTCTCCTGCACCTGGATCTATCACTACATATGGGCAAACCTTCATGATACTTTCATTGATCAATTTAGTCCACCTTTGAAGATCTCAACGCTCAAAAAGAAGGTTGCTAACTTTCAATAAGAGATAAGAGAGTCCTTATATGAAGCTTGGGAGAGGTACAAGGGCTTGCTAAGAAGTTGCCCTCAACATGATTTGAATGTTCAACAAGAAGTTTCCATCTTCTATGATAGAGTTAACGTAAGTACTAGAAAACGTCTTGACTCAAAAGGTCCTATGACGAATAAGGAGCCGACAACTATAAAAGAATTAACTGAAGAATTTGCAAAGCACTCACGTGAGTACCTTAATCCACGAGATGATTTCATTAGAGGAAAATAGATAGATGAAATGAGAATTTGGCTACAATCATAGCTAAACAAGATTTTATGGATAGGCGAATAACAAAATTAGATCAATCCATTCATACCATAAGAGTTGGGCGTGATAAT